AGGCACTTTACTTACTTTTAACTAGTGTTTGTATATTGATTTTAAGGTAGGTTACTTGGAGAGTTTAACTCCATTTAACCTCCCTAGTTGATAAATTCATTTTGTATTTTTTCAATAGGGAAAAAGGGGTGACATTTAGCAAAGCTTGAGGGTGTGACTAGAAATTGGGCCTGAGTTGGGCCTAGGCAAAATTTTGCATATTGGACTCATTTTGCTCCTAATTTTTCATAGATTTGATTTAGCTAGGTCTCATCATCATATGATGAACCTAACTAAATCAAATCAAAGATTTTCAAATTAAATCATGGAGCAAACTTAGTCCAAGGCCGCCTAGCTCCTTTGTCCTCCTTTGGCCGAAAATTTCAAGCTACACTTCTTGAGTTTTGAAGCTTGCCTTGCAAGCTTCTAAACTCAAGTAAGGTAAGCTTACCTTACCATGGTTCTTAAGTGAACCATGGTCAAGGTTAGCTTCTCCTACAAGCTAAGCTAAACCGTGGGAGTTAAGTATACCTTACCATGGTTCCTAGTGAACCATGGTTAAGGTTAGCTTCTCCTAGAAGCTACCTCTACCCTATATATTTGTTCTCCTCCTTTTCCTTGTAAAAAAAAATAGAATACTTATATTATTTTATTCAACTTTAAAATTTTCGTACATTTTATTATTCTATTAATTAACTATTTAAAATTGTCAGTCGGCTCTTGATAACTAACTAATTGAAATGATAATGCACGAAAATTTGATAATTAATGTTAGGTTACATTTTGTTTTTAATCTATGCTTGTTATATGTATTTATGAATTGTAACTACTTTAATTATTTGTAGTCCAACCACAATTCTTATATCTTGGATTGTGATGCATTATTAGGATCGATCCAACAATGATGGAGATTTAAAGTGAAATTTGATAGAGATTTTTAAATTTATAATAAAATAATTATACAGTAGAAACTCTTTAAATTAATACTTAATAAATTAATAAATTCTCTAAAATAATAAATTTGTCCGGTCCCGATTTGGGTCAATATAAAAAATTGAAAAATTCAATAAAATAATAAGATAATAATTTTTCGGGATATCCTTTTATAATTTTCGGTCCCAAGAAAATCATAAATTAAAAATTCATAGAAATTGAAAAAAATATATTACACTCTAACACATTCATGTAATTTATATATGCCAAACTTGCTTAAGAATACATTGAACATATTTGTTCCTCTTGTTTACATTTAATGTACTTCAAAAGTCATTATTGATTTCTAATGCATATGTACTTCAAAAGTCATTACGTATTGATTTTCAATGCATATGTACTTCAAAAGTTACTAATTTACGTTGAGTCTCAAGGTTCGCTGCAACGTAATTCTAATAAACATAGACTAATTTACCTTTTTATTTGGTATGTATAGTATAATTACTTAAAAACTCTTTAAATTAATAATTATTAATTTATTGATAAATACTTTTCTACTTCATTTCTATTTTCCCTTTTATCTACTTTATTGACCCTAAATGAACAAGTACATTTGAAATAAGGACGTCATTACAAACAATGGCTTTATACACCATAAAAAAAAACACATAAAGATCAATCAAATTTGGCATGACTTTAGGATAAAAGCCCAAACGAAATCACTGCAAGGGGCATTCCCCTTTAATGAAGGAATGAAAAATGATCGCAAATGCTGCAAAGACAAAGGCCCGGCAGGAAACCCACTAAGGGGGCTGGGCAAAAGTCAGGGCAAGATCTGCTAGGCAACCCACAATTAAAAAAGGGTAACCTTGGCAAAAGTAAGGATCAAAAGAAAATGTCCTCTAGGGAACACATCTCAAGTAATCTAGGCAAAACTTAGGACAAAGCAACATCCTGAGCTGAAAATTGAAAGGCGGCTCGAGAAGATCATTTAATCAAAGCAAGTCCAAGACACTCCTAAGAAAGGCCTTGTACAAAAATGGAAAAGTTGAAAAAATTACAAGAAATGAAATGTAAATTTACACCAAATGAAATGCAAATCTACACCAAATGAAATGTAAATTCACATTCAAATGAAATGCAAATTCACTTGAAATGAAATTAGTGGCTGCACCAAAAATTTTAGAAACCAAATTTCAGCCACTAATTAGTGACAACTTTAGTGACAGATTTAGAAATGGAGATTTTGAAAGCAAATTTTCGTCACTAAATTTTTTACTAATTCTTATTTTCACAAAAAAATTCTCAAGATTCTGTTGCTCCTTTTTCCCCCAATCCAGCCACCAATGTTGCAGACCTCACAAGTGTGTCACTCCTCTTTTTAGAAGTAACCTTGATGGTAGTTACTTCTAGGTGTTGAATTCTCAAGGTGATAGACTATGGCCAAGGCCAAGGAATCCAAGAGGTGATATCCTAAAAGAACCAAGAGGAATGGGATAATCTTCAAGACCTTTTCATATATTTGTACATAGTTTCTTTGTATAGGTTCACTTTTTACATTTGTATTTGTGAGGCACTTTACTTACTTTTAACTAGTGTTTGTATATTGATTTTAAGGTAGGTTACTTGGAGAGTTTAACTCCATTTAACCTCCCTAGTTGATAAATTCATTTTGTATTTTTTCAATAGGGAAAAAGGGGTGACATTTAGCAAAGCTTGAGGGTGTGACTAGAAATTGGGCCTGAGTTGGGCCTAGGCAAAATTTTGCATATTGGACTCATTTTGCTCCTAATTTTTCATAGATTTGATTTAGCTAGGTCTCATCATCATATGATGAACCTAACTAAATCAAATCAAAGATTTTCAAATTAAATCATGGAGCAAACTTAGTCCAAGGCCGCCTAGCTCCTTTGTCCTCCTTTGGCCGAAAATTTCAAGCTACACTTCTTGAGTTTTGAAGCTTGCCTTGCAAGCTTCTAAACTCAACTAAGGTAAGCTTACCTTACCATGGTTCTTAAGTGAACCATGGTCAAGGTTAGCTTCTCCTACAAGCTAAGCTAAACCGTGGGAGTTAAGTATACCTTACCATGGTTCCTAGTGAACCATGGTTAAGGTTAGCTTCTCCTAGAAGCTACCTCTACCCTATATATTTGTAATTACCTCTCTTGTACTCACTTTTGACATAAATGAGAATTGAACTTCAGAATTCTCTCTCAAGAGTCCTCTCCCAAAACCGTGAGGAATTTCTACTCTAAGAAATTCACCAAAGGTTTCAAACCTAGCCTAGGTTTCTTAAGCTTCTACACTACACTAGAAGTAACCGAATCTTCTTCAAGGTTTCTCCTCCATGGAAGCTTTTGCTCATGGAGTTTCAAGCTTTTCTTGAAGTCAACCTCAAGGCATAATCGGTCCTAAGCATGGAGTCATTGAAGAGCAACAATCTTCTTCAATTAATCTCCATCAATATATTATCATTATAATTTGATAAAAACACTTTTCCAAAAGGAAAAGAAAAGTAAAGTAAACTGGGGCAATAATTTCATAGCATGTCCCTTGCTAAGAATGATGATGCAAGTTATCTGCATGTGCATAAAATAATAGAATAAAAGCTTTGATCTTAACTAAATAACGTCAGCTTATATTATATAGAATATTTTGGAACTCGAGACCAAGTTTTGGGAATTTCAATTCAACAAATAAAATCATTAAAATTGGGATAAGATCATTATTTTTTTGACCTGCATAGCTTTCTCCAGTAAGAAACAGCTCCCTTGATCTGTAGGAAGGAAACTTCTCGTACCATTTCAGCATGAATAGAAGCATATCATTGGCTGCCAAAAAGATATTTCTTTTTCCTACAGCATAACAGAAAAAAGAAATTATTGTAATATAGGCGTCATTCAAGGTTTAGGCATTATATGCAAACAGATATTCGAGGTACCCACTAAGCAAGAGTTTCAATTCCAACAAAACTCAAATATTGCTTAATAAAAAATCAAGTCCTTAGTACCATGTATTTACCGAATATCATGTGATACCAATAAATTGAGATTCCTTCAATCAAATTAACAAAGGAAAGAATGAAAGGGAAACCTTCTTGAAGTTGAATTGGTTTACAACAACAATCACAATAACCCAAAACCATTATGTGAAGTTGGAAACAGGGATCAATTGATGCCAATGTGTACATCAAAATGATACTGAAAATAGAATCCAACAAGTAGTAGTCCCTTTGGTTTTGTTTGAGTTAGTTTCTGTAACATATATGCCAATGAGCTTCTTTAATGTTTATTTTTCCAAGTAGCCTAGATACTTGGTATAGCTAGTTCTTTAATTGTTTCCATCAGCTGCTATCTTATCCAATCTATTCCTAATATATTTGATTTGACGAGCCATCTTAAAACGTAAAAGAAGAGAATTAGAGGAAGAAAAGAAGTGGCCTACATTCATTCTGGTGTTGCCTAAAGCTTTGACAACTTGCTTTCTTAAGTTTTGGCACTGAAATCCATCCAATATATCTTCAGCATCTAAGCATACGTTTTGAATCTGCCTGAGCCATTCACGCAACCCATGCTTCTGCTCCCTCTTCTCCTTAGCATCCAACAACACACCTTTCACAATTGACAAGGTGTCTTTGATCCCTTGCACATCCTCATACACATGATAGGCACGAGAAGAATATATAAAACATAAGAAAATTATTATATTTGGTACGTACTATTGTTTTAACTGCTCAACAAAAATTGTTCAATCATAAAAACAAATGATAAAACTCCATCTTCAAAATTGTTCAAGTTAAAATCCCCTGCACAAAAGGAGAAAATTGTCAAAAACTACTATATAGCTGAGAAATATAGTAGCAACTTATACTTTTGCAATAAGATTATAACAAAATATCATACCCTAAATGAACAAGTTCATTTGAAATAAGGACGTCATTACAAACAATAGCTTTATACACCATAAAAAAAAAACACATAAAGATCAATCAAATTTAGCATGACTTGTGGATAAAAGCCCAAACGAAATCACTACAAGGGGCATCCCCCTTTAATGAAGGAATGAAAAATGATTTACCAAATCTCCTTGCAAATGATATTTTGTTATAATCTTATTGCAAAAGTATAAGTTGCTACTATATTTCTCAGCTATATAGTAGTTTTTGACAATTTTCTCCTTTTGTGCAGGGGATTTTAACTTGAACAATTTTGAAGATGGAGTTTTATCATTTGTTTTTATGATTGAACAATTTTTGTTGAGCAGTTAAAACAATAGTACGTACCAAATATAATAATTTTCTTATGTTTTATATATTCTTCTCGTGCCTATCATGTGTATGAGGATGTGCAAGGGATCAAAGACACCTTGTCAATTGTGAAAGGTGTGTTGTTGGATGCTAAGGAGAAGAGGGAGCAGAAGCATGGGTTGCGTGAATGGCTCAGGCAGATTCAAAACGTATGCTTAGATGCTGAAGATATATTGGATGGATTTCAGTGCCAAAACTTAAGAAAGCAAGTTGTCAAAGCTTTAGGCAACACCAGAATGAATGTAGGCCACTTCTTTTCTTCCTCTAATTCTCTTCTTTTACGTTTTAAGATGGCTCGTCAAATCAAATATATTAGGAATAGATTGGATAAGATAGCAGCTGATGGAAACAATTAAAGAACTAGCTATACCAAGTATCTAGGCTACTTGGAAAAATAAACATTAAAGAAGCTCATTGGCATATATGTTACAGAAACTAACTCAAACAAAACCAAAGGGACTACTACTTGTTGGATTCTATTTTCAGTATCATTTTGATGTACACATTGGCATCAATTGATCCCTGTTTCCAACTTCACATAATGGTTTTGGGTTATTGTGATTGTTGTTGTAAACCAATTCAACTTCAAGAAGGTTTCCCTTTCATTCTTTCCTTTGTTAATTTGATTGAAGGAATCTCAATTTATTGGTATCACATGATATTCGGTAAATACATGGTACTAAGGACTTGATTTTTTATTAAGCAATATTTGAGTTTTGTTGGAATTGAAACTCTTGCTTAGTGGGTACCTCGAATATCTGTTTGCATATAATGCCTAAACCTTGAATGACGCCTATATTACAATAATTTCTTTTTTCTGTTATGCTGTAGGAAAAAGAAATATCTTTTTGGCAGCCAATGATATGCTTCTATTCATGCTGAAATGGTACGAGAAGTTTCCTTCCTACAGATCAAGGGAGCTGTTTCTTACTGGAGAAAGCTATGCAGGTCAAAAAAATAATGATCTTATCCCAATTTTAATGATTTTATTTGTTGAATTGAAATTCCCAAAACTTGGTCTCGAGTTCCAAAATATTCTATATAATATAAGCTGACGTTATTTAGTTAAGATCAAAGCTTTTATTCTATTATTTTATGCACATGCAGATAACTTGCATCATCATTCTTAGCAAGGGACATGCTATGAAATTATTGCCCCAGTTTACTTTACTTTTCTTTTCCTTTTGGAAAAGTGTTTTTATCAAATTATAATGATAATATATTTTTTTTTATTACTAACATTTAAATGTTGTACAGGACATTATATACCACAGTTAGCTAATGCTATTTTGGACCACAATGCTAATTCAGCTGGTTTCAAATTCAATATTAAAGGAGTTGCTGTAAGATCCCTTTCATGTGATATCTTTTTGGCATTATTTTACTCATTTATTTTTGCGTTGCTTTTAGACTAGTCTCTGTTATTCCAGCCACCAATGTTGCAGACCTCACAAGTGTGTCACTCCTCTTTTTAGAAGTAACCTTGATGGTAGTTACTTCTAGGTGTTGAATTCTCAAGGTGATAGACTATGGCCAAGGCCAAGGAATCCAAGAGGTTTACGAAAATACTCCCTCTTTAACAAAGCTACAAATAAAAGAACGCACTATCCCAAGAGAAATAATGGAGCATCTACTTGAAAATCGAAGATTAGGTGTACAGTTCGTCAGCCTTGCTACCCAATAGAGTATGCAACCAACACTCAACTGCTCTAAAAGGCAAGGATATGAGCAAATACACCTATCTAAAAGAAGGAACGTAGAAGCGCCAACACCAAGGAGACGAGGAGGAGACCTGGACGAAATGTCTGTCTTTACTTGCCTTTGGAAAAGAAACACATAGCTACTCGAAAGGACAAGTAAAGAGGGGCAGCTGTAGACACCCAATTTCGTCCGGGGGGCACACAAACAAGAAAATGGACCTACATCATGAAGGTAAGGAGCTCCAGAAGCAGGCAAATAACACGACAGGATATCAGAAGTCCTAAAGGTCAAATAAGGTTGTTTTAGTAGCCTGGAACGGGCTGTTCCAGAATCGGAACGGGCCGTTTCGAACCTCTGAACGGGCCGTTCCAATATCAGAACAGGTCGTTCCAATGTGACTAAAACACCTAAAAATCCAATACCAGAACGGGTCGTTCCAATACCAGAACGGGTCGTTCCAAACAAGTCAAATTTGGAACGGGCCGTTCTGGAAAGGACAAATATGTGTTAATTTCTACTCTGGAATGGGCCGTTCCATTTTTAGAACGGGTCGTTCCAGGGTGCATAATTTGAACATAACGTTTGGATCCGGAATGGGTCGTTCCGAATCTAGAACGGGTCGTTCCGGCCCACATCTGATGCCTTTAAATTGAAGCCTCGGGCACAGTTCTCAGGGCGGCCAGATAAATTTCGAATAAGACTCCTTTGAGCACGAACGATCTCTAGCACTGGTTGAGCAACTATTTAATTGCAAACACCAAGGAACAAATATATTCTTGAATATTTGCATAAAGTCTTCAGTTTCCCCTACTTTATCCCCATCATATGAAAGCTGACTAGAAACGTGACTTTTGCTCTTAATAAAGACTTCTTCAACAATCATTCGTGGTCCAAATATTGAAACAGCAACTGAAAGAAGTCTCACAGAGTATCTGGTGAATCCTGATATTTAAGAAACAAGGTGAGTCTGGAAAAATATGGTAGAAAATATCATTTCCTTTTAAAGTAATCATTTGAAATTAATATGGTTTAACAATACCAAAATCCTATGAAATTTTAGATACTATTTTTCAACAGGATAATCAAGAACAGTGGTGACATCATAACTGACTCCCATATATTGCTGTTTCACTTATTTATATTTTAATTGTTCATAGAATCAATCTTTTTGATGACCCAAAAAATATAATCTATTTTGTTTACCACTTGTGTCTAGATTTTAAAAATAACTTCTGTTCAAAAGACCTAAAAAATATCTACAAAGTAACAACAGAGCGCATCAAACCCAGATTCATTTAACCTTTATAAAGAGATCAATTCTATGCATAGATAAAATATAAACAAGTATACCAGAAAACTATTACAAAGTGAGAAAAAGTAGGAATAGAAACTCTGTTCTAAAGAACTGTACCTAAGTTTTGCCCTAAACATTTATCCCCAGAGAGAGAAAGTATCAAACAGTTGGCAACCAATTCAAATATTTATCACGTAATTTTGCCCATATAAACAACTTGATATTCATGGAACATTACAATCTTTATGGAAATGAGTGGTTAACAAAACAAACAGAACCCCAAAGTACTGCATAAAGATTACAATTTCAATTTCTTTTAAGAATAAAAAGACACTATGCAGGGCAAAAGAACAAGATTACATGAAACAAAATGAGTACAGAAAAGAGTACAAAGAGAAAACCTGAATTTATAAAATCAATTCATCACCCCCCCCACCCCCAACCGATCAAGTAATCAATAAGAAATTTCCATTCATGAACAGAAATGCATAATTATAATTCTTATATTAAGATTTATTTTCATAGAAGCCTACACAACAGAAATGTATAATTATGATTCTTATATTAATGCATTTGTGTTTTGCAGGCTAATCTAAAATTTTATGCACCATTGCCTTTTAATCCTAAGTACTTCAATTTCACAATAACTCTAAACTATATTGAAGGTGATAGCTCAATTTTTTATATAATATTTGGCTCAACACAACAATTTCTGTAAGATTTTTTATCCTGTCATGAACTTTGATAAAAAAATTTAAACAAAAAATAGAAATAGAAAAATATCAATGCAAGTCGATAAAAGAACATGCCATATTTGATGAGAGCCTGGCTTGGTGCGTTTAGATGTTGTTATTGCTCTCATATATGAGGACGAGCAGAGTCGAAATCAGTAATTGGTATTACAGGGGAAGACTGCAATAGCTGATCTAGGTAAAGCATATCATCAGTTCCAAAAAATTTCCATGGTTGCCCCTTCATCTTAGATTCAATGTCTCCTACAAGTAAAGCTGCTGCACCTATTTCTAAGAAACTATGTGCTGTCATGTCTTGATTATTGACAGCACGATCACTGCATTAAATTATGTTAAATAACAAAGTCAAATTTTGAAGCACAATAAGATGGAAGAAAACTAACAGGTAAAGTAGAGATATAAACTTTCATATAAATTATCGCAGCATATTTAAGCATAGGCTGGAAGTATAACTAAAGTGTTGGTGGAAAAGTACAAAACCTACTTTCATATTGCTAAATCTCATCGTGCCATTTTGTAAAAGTTAAAAGTTTCACAACGAAGTTGGGGTTGTCATATTTTTCAGCATGTGAATGTGTTTAGAATGCATATGGGGCTGCATAGGAAAAACATTCACTCAACTTCAATATGAAAAACAAAGCTGTTGAAGAAAGCAAAGAAGTGAATACTATACTAACATTGTGAAGTTTAAAATAAACAAATAAATCCACATAAATATTTGAATATAATCTAATCATGAAAAAGTTAACAGAGTCGGCATAAAAAGTAAATAAAGTAATTCAACCTGCAAAGGAATCCAATATTATAATGAGTAATGACAAAATTAACAGAATCAATATGAAAAATCCATCAAGTAATTCAACTTGCAAGAGAATCCAAACATGCAGCTGTTACATGGCACCCTTCCAAATTTAACAAAGCTAGCTTTTGTAATCCTGAAATCAGCTGAAAAATTATTGAAAATGGAGGAAATGAACTATTCTGTCGATCTGAAATGAAACTCAATTTTCTTCATTCTGTTGATCTTAGACACTTATACATTGAAGATGATCATATATTTCCCAATGCTCTGAAACATCAGAATAAAATCCATAACTAGATTCACACACACATATATAATCAGAGATAGAGAGAAACTCACATGCAAATAAGAGATATCCGTGACATTTAGCAAAGCTTGAGGGTGTGACTAGAAATTGGGCCTGAGTTGGGCCTAGGCAAAATTTTGCATATTGGACTCATTTTGCTCCTAATTTTTCATAGATTTGATTTAGCTAGGTCTCATCATCATATGATGAACCTAACTAAATCAAATCAAAGATTTTCAAATTAAATCATGGAGCAAACTTAGTCCAAGGCCGCCTAGCTCCTTTGTCCTCCTTTGGCCGAAAATTTCAAGCTACACTTCTTGAGTTTTGAAGCTTGCCTTGCAAGCTTCTAAACTCAAGTAAGGTAAGCTTACCTTACCATGGTTCTTAAGTGAACCATGGTCAAGGTTAGCTTCTCCTACAAGCTAAGCTAAACCGTGGGAGTTAAGTATACCTTACCATGGTTCCTAGTGAACCATGGTTAAGGTTAGCTTCTCCTAGAAGCTACCTTATACCACATAATACTTACTAAAATGCGGTAGTATTAACACTAATCAATCTTTCCTTAAGAGTTTGAAAACTACTCTCACATTTGTTATCCCATACAAAGGCAACTCTTTCCTAGTCAATCCAGTCAAAGGTAATAGTAAGCGACCCAGAGAAGTAAGTGACGAAATGCTTTGGGAAGTTAAAAAATAAGCATAGGTCCAGGAAGGCCCGATATAGATTAACCTTTTGCACTACTGCTGAATCCATGGGTAGGCAAGAGACAACCTGGTGAACTGAAACATCTTAATAACCAGAGGAAAAGCAAGGAATAACGATCCTCATAGTAGCGACGAGAGAAACGAGAGCAGCCTAAACCGTGCTTGTAGTCACTTGAATTACTATCATTATGAGGAGTAGAAAATTCTTCCATTATAGGTGAAAGATTTTGTTTTATGAAAGACTTTTTGAAAGCAATTTTTAAAAGTTAAGACTAAGTACTTGGAGGACTAAGTATACAAATTGAACTTTGGAGGGAGGTGAGCTACTAAGAGCCACTTAATAACCAAGTCTCTTCAAGTAAAAATTACTAATCCCCTTGTAGTTAATCCTCACCTAAAATCTTTTCAATGAAAATATTTTTGTTATTTGTGATGTGTTGAATAAGCTAGACGAATTATGAACTAAAAAAAATTAAATTGCAAGAATTAGAAGCTACCTACACGGATTCCTAAGGTGAAAGCTTGAGAGGTACCAGAGACCAATCAAGGACCACTTCCACCAAGTCTAGCGAAAATTAGGGTTCCTAAGGAGAGATGGTTGTGTACCAAAGACACTCCCAAGACACTCCAAAAATGGCCAATTACAATTGAATTAAATGCTGTAGAGAAAAGTAAACAAGTGGCTTTCAATGAAATAAAAACAACCACCAAGATTAGTGATGAAATTAGAGACCACTTTTGTAAGGAAAATTCAAATTAGTGATAGAAAATTGGTCTCTAAATCTATCACTAATACTCTGTTTTTTTTTTTTTTAAATTAATACAATTTGAAATGTTTCTCCAATGTATCTTCACAGCTTTGTAAGGTGCAGCAGCC